ATGAGGGGTGGTGTATAGGGATGCAGGAGTAGCTTACTCACAAGTTTGTCAGAAGCTACCCTCTTTTCCCTCTTCAGGACAATCACCCTGCTGGCCTGGGAGGCTGGGCTGTGTTGGGCTGTCTGTGAGAGTCTCACCTACCCTACACAACTGACTTGGGGAACATTTTAGTGACAGTTTCCCATTTGACTGAGTCCAGAGAGGTCAAGATGTGCCAGCTCTCATTCATGGAAGGAGAAGAAAATGATAAAGGAAGAGAAAATGTGAAATCATAAAATGAATATGTTGGGGGGGCAGAGTTTTGGTTGGAAGGAGGCTAGAAGGGGGGCGGCGGGGCCAGAGGGGGCGGGGGGGGGGGGGGGAGAGGGGTATGTGAGTAGTGATGGGAGAGTCCAACAAAACTAATAAGGCATTCTGAGGCTGAGCTCAGATGGGCAGGAAGGAAAGACTGGCACAAAAGCATCCAGGAAAGTCAAAGTACTGCCAAAAGTTGTTCTGTCCCTGGAGACACTGCCAGAACAGAGCAAAAGACAAAGACTTGGTGACTTTACCCCATTGGCCACTAGGTGGCTCTGTAGTTCCACTGAAAATGCTGAGGGCACTGGGAATGTCCCCCAGGGGAGATAGTGTGAAATGGGACAGGGGGATTAGGTCTGCGTGGGGAAGGAATAAAAAAAGAGCCCATAGTAGTACAGGATCTAACTACTTTAGAGTAAAGGATTTAGCTCTATAGCCAGTTCAGGGATAGGAGAAATAAATACAATCAATACAAAGGACAAGCACCACTCCTATAACTCCTGTCCTCTGCCCACCATTATTGAAGGGTGCTGACAGAGGATAGTAAAGGACTCTTTGTGGAAGACAAAGTGAATGGTGGGTAGGAGAAAGAATTAAGTGGTGATAAAACTAGTACAGATAGAGATAGTTGAGTCCCATTTGCCTCTAGAATCCACAGGATTCTGACAAAGAGCAAGGAGATGAACTTTGGATAGTGAAGGGGAAAACAGATGTCTCTCTGGTTCTGGGGGATAACCTTGGTGACTTGTCCCTGAAAGCAGCCTTAAATTTTAGTTATGGATGACAAAGGTGTCCTTGGGATCTATGTGGAGTCCTGAGTGAGAGGGGAGATCACGAGAGAAGGTCTGATTGGCCAATTCTAGAGGGGACTAAAATGGTGTCCATGATGAGCTACTAAATAATACTAGATAAAGTATTGAGTTCAGGAAATTGAGTCTTGAGTAGGAAAGAAGAACAAGGATGGTGGGAAGATGAAATGGAAGGATCACATCAAACCGTGTGGGCATATCTGTATTTGTCAGGATGCAGGCAGATGGAGTGACCACATCAGATATTCAGGAATGCGATCTTTCTCACACTGACCACAACTCAATCCAAATTTGGATTCCATTAATTCCCAACTAAAATGTCATTTTTTTTTACAAGAAGATTTTCCCAATCCCTTTGGTTATAGTCACTACCCTTTTTCAATTATTTCCTATTCATCTTGTATACAACTTACTTATATATCTTTGTTTGCATGTTGTCTCTCCCTTTAGATTGTGATTTCCTTC